TTTCCTCGAACTCAATCTCATAAACATCCTCCCGATAATCCAACTCATAAACATCCTCCAGCCAAATTAATCATGATACCCTTATCGACAGCAAACCACAACATCCTCTCACGACAACTCCCGTATCTCGTCTTACAAACATCCTCCAAGATAAACTAACCATAACATCCTCTTACATCAGCCAGAACCTTCTAACTACCAGAACAATATTGTCTGACTCACATCTACCTTTAACGTTCTGGGGAGGGGCAGTGTGTACTGCTGTATATATAAGAAATAGGGTAAAATCAAAAGTGCATGATAAAACTCCATACGAGATATGGTATAATAAAAAGCCAAATGTGCGACATCTGAGAAGATTTGGATGCTTAGCATATCTGTTGAATAAAGGTGGAACAAGTCAAAAGTTTGAGTCAAAAACTGTAAAAGGAATTTTCGTGGGATATGGTACGAATAATACCTACCGAATATACATCCCGAAAGCAGATAAAATCAGATGTGATTGTGACGTAAAATTCGATGAAAACAAAAATGGGTCAGAACTATTGTACAATAATAAGAGAAATGATGAATATAATGGTAATAGTGGATTAATTGTATTAGGATTAAATTCCAATGATGATGCGGAGGATTCTGAATCTGATGGTGAGATGTATCAGAATGAAGAAGAAGAAACGAATGAACAGCATAAAGAGGAAGACAGCTATTATGAAGATGCGAGAATAGAATTTCTGGAAAATGAAAGTGACACACATGAAGTTAATGATGAAGAGGGGAACATTGAAGTTAATGAAGAGAGTGTAATTGTACCTGAAGCATCAACGGAAATAAAGAAGAGAGGAAGACCAAAAAATGTGATAAAAGAAGTCATGCAGGTTCGAAGAAATATTGAACAAGAAAAAGTGATGAAGAAAGGAATATTAGAAGATCAGAAAGAACAAAGAATCAGAGGGCTATGAAAACAGTTGATATTAAAATACCAAATTCAGTTGGAGAAGCAAGGCAATCACACGAGTGGGAAGAGTGGAGAAAAGCTATGAGTGAAGAAATGAAATCAATGCAACGTCATAAGGTATGGGATTTGGTTGATCGACCTAGAAAAAAACGCGTGATAAAGAATAAGTGGATATTTTCTATAAAGGAAGACCCGATTACGCTTGAAAGAAAATTCAAGGCGAGATTAGTCGCAATGGGCTGTGGGCAACGTCCAGGCTATGATTACGAGGAAACCTTCGCTCCAACAGTCAGGATGGAAACAATTAGATTGTTAATTAGCGTATGTGCGGAAAAAGGAAAAAAATTAAAAATTTATGATGCAAAAACTGCCTTCTTACATGGATCTTTGGATGAAGAAATATACATGGAGATGCCTGATGGATTTGAAAACAAAACTGAGAAAGTCTGCAAACTCAAGAAAAGTATTTATGGACTGAAGCAGGCTAGTCGTTGCTGGAATACATATCTGACTGACGTGTTATTGAAGGTAGGGTTGAAACAGTGTACTCATGATCCATGTTTGTTTTATGTTGTAGAGGGGAACAACTTTTTATATTGTGGAGTTCACGTGGATGACATACCATTAGTAAGTAGTGGAGATGAATTTGAGGAAAAATATATGAAGGAAATAAAGAAATATATAGATTTAAAGGATACTGGAGAGGCAAAACAAATATTAGGGATACAATTAAATCAAGAAAGAGGAAGAATATTCATCCATCAAAGAAATTATATTGAAAATTTGCTGAAACAGTATGGAATGAAGGAAGCTAATGAAGTAAATTCGCCTATGGATATCAATCAAAAATTGAGTGAAGATGAAGGAAGTAAGGAATGCAGTGTAACAAGATATCAGGAGTTATTAAGGCGATTAATGTATTAAAGCGTATCGACAAGGCCTGATATATCTTTCTCACTGAGTTGTTTATCACAATTTAGTAAATGCCCCAAGAATATACACATGAATGCATTGAAGAGAGTATTGCAATACCTGAAAAAGACAATTAATTATGGCATTGAATATGGAAGAATAAACCCTAAAAGAGGAATTAGGTGCGAATCTGATGCTTCTTGGGACAGCACAAGAGACGCAAAATCCTTCAGTGGCGTACTGATTTATAGAAATGACGACCTCATACACTGGAGAAGCAAGAAGCAGTCAACAGTCGCTTTATCTTCAACGGAGAGTGAGTTGGATGCAATGTTGGAAGGGTT